CAGAATTTTTGAATGCTCAAAGATCCAGTTCTTTTACAGCTCTGCTGCTATGAGTAAAACAATTTGCTTATCTGCTTGTTTTGTTTTGCTAAATGCATTGGTTGTAGATGAGGATTTCTGCAGAGAAATTCCTGAAAACACTATATGTAAGTGCGAAAATCGAAAAAGAGAAAGTAATTGTATATATAGCTGGATTTTATATTATTTCCTTTTTGACATAAATTTAGAAAGATTTACAAGATAACAGATAGATCTGCTTGGGGCTTTATTTCCAGTGTAGCAAAGCAACTCTGTAGCCAGCATGGTACTCCCTTTTAGGTTCCTCCTCCTCTGAAAAAACCTGGGTAATGTGAACTTGTCTTAGCAGTGCTGTCTATGCCATCCTTGACCTCACTGAAGGATATGGGATGAGGATACGTCCCACCAATCTCCTCATCTGTGCTGAAATTTGGCACTGAACTGGCCTAAGAACTTTTATTTTCTTGTGGCGGTAGTTTCAGTTATCAACACGTACCCACGCTTTCTGATTTGGGGCCCAAAAGAAACTCCCAAACCAGTTCCTGTTCATCCTCTGGGGTGCACTCAGTTGGACTGAAAGATCGTGGCTGGAACATTTGAGAATTCTGAATCATTCAGAAATGCCAACGTTTTTTCCACTTTTTTTTTTTTTTTTTTCAAAAGATCCTGTTGACTTCAAAACTAGGCTAGCATTGGCATTTCCAGCATGGCTATGGTGGGCAATTCAGTAGGACTTTCTGCATATAGTTTTCTCCTGGGACATCTCACTTGTGCACGTGTGCTCCTGACATGACAGGTTGCACTAACACTCTCCAGCAGGCTGGGATCCTGGGCCAAATCCTGCATTCGGGGAGGCAGAGAGATGTTTTTGTGTTGATCCCAATGGAGTGGGACTGGATCTTTATTTCCTTGACAAGGCTGGAAAACATTTGTTCTGTATCTTTCCCCTTCACACACATATTTTCTTTTCTTTGTAGAGTAAGTCATTTGTCTTTATCTCACCATTCACCTCCCTCTTTGATTGCAGTTAATGGAATTGTCACCTTTATGTACTCATGTGCCATTTCTCAACCTGTCTGGACTTTGGCCTCCAAAGGTTACCACTGCTAGTGAAGTAATATGATTAAGTGAGTCTTTTCAGACAGATTTATGCAAGATTTCTTCTCCAGCAAGTGTCACATCTAGTCTAGTTCTGTAAAAGAGAATATTTCAAAGATGCCAACTGTCATCTATAAACACTAAATTGTTCTGCAATGCTGGTTGAGAGGACTGCAGGCCATATCAGAGCAAGGCTGATTTACGCTACCTGAAGCTGTAGCTTGAAATACGGGCTTTGGGTAATCACGAAAAAAAGCACATTCCTGTCTCACAGAAAGCACATTTAAAAGGGAATTTTCATTAGTTACTCACAAATGAAAAGGTAAAAGGATACATTTTAAATGACTCCGTCCAAAATCTGGGAAAGGGAGGAAGACTGTATAAAGCAGTACTAACTGAAGCAAAACTACAATGGTCTTGTGCTTCACTTAAGGTACATAAACCCACAACACATTTTCAGGTTTACACATAGATTTTGAAGTTGTAGGAGATACTCTGCACACATATCTACTCTTCCTGCATTTGATATGAAACAAAAATTAATCATCATTATTCTGCACTAATATAACACCTCTTAACCCTTAGCTTTTGGAATATTTCAAAGGAGTAATGGATTAAGTCTCATATGGACATGGGAGTGTTTTGATTCTTTCATTTAAAAAATAGCATTTCCAGGACTGATTTTGGTGAGTGGAGGTCCTGTAACTGTTCTTGAAAATATTTTCATTTGTCACCCCACTTGGAATGAAATCATGCAAGGGCAAGAGAAGTGTAATGAAATGTAGAAATGTATTAAGGGAATGTTATGTATTTCAAAAATATATATATTTTTATTTTTTTTCCCCGTATATATTTTTTCCTATAAATTGGAGATGAAAAACACCTGGATAAACTGAGATACTAGTGTGATATAGATGTAAAAAAGGCAGTGTTGATCCCTGTCTGTAGCTAAAAGCAAGCATAGGAAATTATTATTGCCACTGTGCAAGTCACCAGCAAGACATCACTTTGAACATTATACGTGATGTTGGGCTGTGATCACTCATGTTTAGAAAATACAAATTCTGACTGAAACAAGTGCAGAGAAAGATTATTAGGTAGTCCAAACCTTGCTGCTATGAAAGAAAATGTAAATGGTTAATACATAACTTAGCAAAACAAGGGCTAAGAAGGGATTTAAGCAGTGTGTATAAATACACTGTGGGAGGAGAACAAGTGTTATTTGTATTAAAAGAAAGTGTCAGCCAGCTATGAATACACAGAAATCATAAAAATTATTTTTAATGAACAGAGGAATGGGATTCTGGAACAAAACAGTAAAGAAAGAAGATAGTTGGGGGGTGAAGAGCCAGAACTATAAACTGGAGCTCAGTGTGTTTATGGAAGAGTTTACAGGATTTGACTGTCAGGGATGGTAGAGGAACCCTTGTGTCCTTTTCCCTGGTTTCATTTTACTGCTTCTCGGTTGCACAAAACATTTTGGTAAATCCACAGTCACAGCACTTCGTTTTGGATCACTGAACTAACGTGAAACAGCTTGTGTCCATGCACTTTATACTTTCTTTGCGTGGCCCACTCCCCCAGTCAGACCAGTCCTTGCTGCTGCTAATTTTTCCCAAGGGCCAGGTCCCGCATGCCGGGACTGGTCTGACTCAGACCGTGATGTGCACAGCTCAGGACAGAGACATTTGCATCCCGCTACAGGAGGTGCAGACCTCCCGGGGCGCGAAGCAGAGCATGAGAGCACAAACTCCCACGGCGCAGTGAGCTGACTCGGAGTTAAAGCCAGGAGGGTGGTATTTGTTTTTAAACAATCTATTCAAAGCAAAACATTTGGACTAACACAAGGAAGCGATGAATATTTCAGTTTGGGTCTAATGTCCTTTCCCTCCCTGCCTAGATGCAAGGTATCCCCAACGGAAAGTCAATTTTCACAGAGGTTCCAGTTTTGTAAAGTGCTGCTTTCTGTCAGAAAATCATTCCGACGGAAAATTACTAACTGGTGCTAATACGAAGTGACTGGCGAAGGGTTCAAAATGATTCAGTGGCCAAGCTGGAATGAGAACCCACAGCCCCTGACCGCTAACCCTGAGCTCTGACCACGAGACAACACTCATCTTTCCCTGAGCAAGGTTGCTCTCGCAGTATTTCTGCCTGGGCCGAAGTGGGGAAATTCTGGAAATGTTTCAAAAGAGATTTTTGTTCAAAGATTTCCTGACGTGGAAGATGAGGAGGGTATGTGGAGAAACCCTTGGTGGCCCCCTGGGGCCTCTTCAGACGGGCTTGGACATGGCAGCGTGAAGGTTTCCATCCACTCTCCTGAGGTGGGCGATGGAGGAAGGTGTCAGGGCCTGATCCTGTCCCCCATTTTGTGCAAACCTCACATAAACTCAGGGTTTATTCCTCACATCTGGGATTTTTAAAACAACTTTTTAGGTAAAACTCTCAAATGGAGTAACCCCGCACAGAAGGGCTGGCTCACACCTCGCCATCCTGCTTTATCTGTTTTACAAGTGATTATGTATTTATGGTCAAGTTGGGGAATGCTCATTTCAGGCATAACCTTCGGTTTTCTTCCTCGTGTTTATTCTTCCCCCGGCTCTCAGCACAGCTGCTAAAGCGAAACCCTCCAGCACCCTCCTATACGTCTCTGCAGTCCTGTAGGGCACTGGGGCTGCAGCTGAGATCCAGCAAATCCCCTTTAACAAACCGACGAGAGCCAAACCCCTCCCCTGCTGCTGCTTTATTCGCTTGGAAAGAAAAGAGAAGCACGGCTTCCTTTCCGAGGCAGGAGCGCTGGTACGGGCCGAATTCCTCACAGGGCACGGGCGGCCTCGCACACGCCGGAGCTTCGTGAAATGGCCGGGGCCAAGCTCGGCGCAGGGGCCCCCGCACGGAGCAGCCGCGGCCCCCGAAGCCGAGCGGGGGAGGCCGGGGCCGCCGCCCCCTCCCTGCCCGCCCTGCCCGGGGCCGGGGGCTGCGGGGGCTGCGGGGGCTGCGGGGCGGCTCCTGCCCGGCAGCGGGCGGCGGTCGGGGCCCGGCCTTGCGGGGACGAGCCGTGCGCGGTGCTCCTGCCCCTGCCCCTGCCCCTGCCCCTTCCCGCCCCCGGGGCGGCGGCCATTAATGGTCGGGGCCCGGCCTCTCTGGAGAGCCGCGGGTTGTTTATTTTATTTATTTTTTTTTAATTTTCTTTCAAGCTGGGGCCGCCCTGCGGCTTGTGCCACGGGAGCTCCCTTCGCTGTGCCCCCGGCCCGCGTTGGCTGAGCATTTAAAGCGTGCTATAACGCTGTTTTATATAACGTTTGTGGGGTTCGTGTGTACCTATGGGGGCATTATAGGATTTACGTGCTGGTCTCCCTGCCCGGCTTCCCCAGCTCTGCTTTTCCTGACGTTTCTCAGAAGCACAGCGTGTATATAAAACCTAAATTAATGAGAATTGGCCTGCCCCTCACAGCCCCTCAGTGCTGACAGGCTGTGGCAGGATTGGGGTGCCAAACACGGGGCAAGGAGGCACCGGAGGGCTCTTGGGGCTCTCATGTCGCCTCCCGTCAATTCTCCTGTCACGGCCCTGCAGCAGGAGGCACCATTTTCTGTGCCGCCAGCCTCTCACTCCTTCACCTGCTTCAGATGGCAGTGCCCAAGTGACCTGGCGTAGGCACACGGGACACGTGCGTCACTCGGTGCTTGCTTAATCCTCCAGATCCCAGGGAGTTCTCCTTAAATGTTTCTTGCCCTTAATGAAGGTGGTGGTTTCCAGGATTGTGTTCCCACTATCCCATTGCTGCCACCGGCGTCCTGTTGCTGCTTGCTTCCCCTGCTGCCTCGTTTCTCCTCTCACAGCTCTGCTTTCTCACACCTTTGCAGGGCCGGCTCCTTTGTGTCACCTCTCTGGACACTTGTCCTGGTATTCTCGTAAAGCTGGGGGGCTGGCAGGGTGCCCACCCCAGTAACCTGATGGAGTTTACTCGTGCTGCGTGCCTCACGAGTGACGTGCCCGGCACCAGCCAGGAACCGGTGACCTTGCGGATTCTTCTCTCTTGAGGTGCCTGCGACTTGACAGATAGTTTAATAAATTTAGCAACAGTGCTTCTTCTCTGGAGAACACTTAAGAAACAAGTGTCAGGGAAGGAGAGGAGAGGGCTCTCTTTCCTCAGAGGAGCTGGGAAAGTAGTAAACACACGTTACGTGGAGGTGGTCTTCTCGTTTTTCATCCTCATGTATTCCCTTATCCTGGAAGACCGTCTGCTTAATTTATTGAAATTAACTTGTTTCTAAATGTATTGAAATACAGTACTGAAATGTACTGTAATTTGAAGTATCTTAAATATTAATAACCCACTTTTCTACATGATTCTATGCTGGGATATGGCAAAAAAGTTGTCTTTTTTTTTTTTTTTCCTCTTGGAAGGGGTGACGGGAATAGGAGGATGGAAACGGAAAGCAGGGGGGATTGGATTCTTGAAGGTTCAGCTGTTCCCAGCTGTAAGAATTGGGGTAGAAACTAATTTATAGTGTCAGGAGAGACTAAATAAACTAGGAATAGGCTGGAAAGTTTTTGTGTGTATTCTTAGCAACTTTTTTTTTGCTCTGTTGTGTGTTTCTTACAGGGATACACATAAGTTATCATCTAAAAATGTTAATTCTTTTGAATAATCCAAAATAAGTGTTCTCATACATTTTGTTTCTTTTAATTTCCTCAGTAAGTCTGTCTTCTGTCTTCCCATAAGCTCTCATTTAAGCCTTCTTTTGTTTCTGTTAGAGGCAGCTGTGCTACCTGAGAACCAGTAGGTTTGCAGGAGAGGATCAGAATAGCTCTCCTCTGTCCTGGTTTGTATCTTGTGTTTTTCTAATCACCCATGTTGAAATTTTTCCCTTGTACTGGAATAGTGAAGTTTCTCGTATGCAAAACCAACACTAGTGGCACAGTCTCAGTAGAAATGTGTTTCAGAGTTTTGTTTTCAGAGGGAAATCTCTGCCTAGCATTGTCTATTTTTTGGCTCTTGTTAATGCCTTCAGGTCGGTGTCTTGAGCTGCCTACCGTTTGCCCTCTGCATTTCCACTTGTGAAAGAAAAAGTACTGAGACCGTTCATAAAATAAAATTGGAAAATGTGTGACCCTCAGCTGTTTGAGGCAAGCAGGTTTACAAGCTGGTGGCTTCTGGGATGTTTTGAGAAAGTCACCAAAGGAAACTTACAGAGAAGGTTTGGCCTGATACCCATTTAGGCGTGTCTTTGTGGGAGTTTGAAATTATGGGACTGATAGGATCATTAAGAAAGCAGATTTTGCATTTATAAAAAGAAATCAAAAACACCCTCACTCCCCCAAAACTCTGTATGTGGGAAGAAGGAAGATAAGTCACTATTTTGAGATGAACAGATGTGATTCTTTAGAAAGAAATAAAAAAAAAAGGTTGTAGACATGTTACCCTTGTATGGCAGATATATCTAGATATCTGATCTATGTGCAGCATTTGTTTCTTTTAGCCTAGCCTCATTTGCTTGTAAGTGGTTGTGACAGGAACTTCAAGGCTAGTAATTTTAGTATTGTAGACCAAATAAATGTTTAATTTTAAAATGACAGATTACGTAGGGTTGTCAGTCCATGCTCTTCCCATGCAAGAGTGAACACATACTGTAGAGTAGACTCAGGATTCAGCTTACAGACATGTTTGCTTCTGGGCTGAGCATCTTGATAGAAGTGGTTTACAGCATGTCGTTAAAAATTGATTTCACTATTGCATCTACTACTGGCCTAAGTGTTCCAGTATCTGCCAGGAGTAATTATAGACAGTTGGTTCAGATGTTGCTTAAATGTGTAAGCCTTGATGGGAAAGGCAGTGGATTTCAGCCAAAATGCTAATTTTGATGTTTTGTCATTTCATAACGCTATGAACTCGGAACAAATTATTTTTGTACTGATCTACCGATACGTAATCGCGTGGCTAGGGCCAAGTTCATCCTTGATGTAGCGCTGGGCACTACAAATGTGATTAAAGCTCGAGTATCAGCACTAACCTCAAGCTGACTAGCTCAATATCTGCAGTAGCATAATGGCTCCTGCAGGATTCCAGGTAAGCTTATGTACCCGCCTCTGAAGCTCCTGATACCAAGGCTGGTTTGCTCCATTAATGCAGTTTAAACCTAGTGTGTGTGTGGTTATATGAGCTGTTCATGCCTTTCAAATTGCATTCTGTTCTGCACTATATTTTAAATTTTAAGCATTTTTTTTTCTCGTATTAACATTATTATGCTAGGGGTGCATTTCCTACTTAATTTTTTCTCTATGTTTTTGTTTTAACATAGAAGAGAATAAAAAATACAAACATTACAGTACAGGAATGTGCCCCTTTTACAGCCAATGAACTGATCCTGTTTAACCTGTCCAGAGGGGGTTAGGTTAGAGTGACAGATAGATATGAATAGAAAGAAGATAAGAATAGAAAGATCTTCCTTCACATTACGTTGAAAAGGATCAACCACTGGGATCGATAAGTTGTTGTGGAGCCCCATACCTCCTCTGAGTTAGTCATGAAGCTGTTACAGCTACAATTTATGTAATAATCAGATTGTGTTTTTTTCCCCTCACAGTCAGTGTAAAGAAGGATGGCTTCTTTCAGAGCTTCGAGCATTGTGCTGTGTCATCTGGGACACGTTAGATTGCCAGATCATTAGAGCAGCATTTAGGGGGGCATGCAACTGCAGCGTCAAGGAGAGGATGGATCTAAATAGGTTGGTGTGCGTGTATTGTATCCATTAATGTTTTCAGGGTGTGGAGGAGAAAGGGTGCAGCAGTGTACTCTCTTAATTCCTTAGGTTTTCCTGCGTGGGAATTGTGTCTTGGTGTAGAGTGATCAACATTTCCTCTGCTTGACAAGATGTAGATTATGGCAAGCGTTCAAAATCCTGCAGACTTGAGAGTGCACCTGCAACATTTGCAAGTATCAGGAGTCTAATCCTGAACTACTGATGTGGGTGGCAGTTTTGCCACTGACTCCAGTGGTTTCAGGATCACACCGTGCTTTGGAAGTGGTAGTCCTGTCAAAGCAGGACCAAGATATCCCTGGAGAGAATTGGAGCTGCTGGATTTCCCCAGCAGCTTGTGCCTGCAGTCCTCATCTCCATTTTGCGTGTTCCTGTGGCCCTTTGCTCAGCCTTCCCTTTCTCTGAGAGCTCCTGCCTGCAGCTGTTTCCTGCTGTGCTGGTGTTAGACAGTGGAGCAGAGAGGGAGCTGAACTCGCCTTTTATGTGAGCTGTATTTGCAGGCTTGGGAAGAAATGGAGCAGCCCAGTTTTATACTGTCAGGTTGGAAAGTCTTACTGAGGGAGAACCAGTCTGCGTTTGGCCTCTGACTGTGTGTTCTTCTGATGGTTGCAGCAGAGAGCCTCTCAGGGTGCACTGCAGCTGTGTGATGCCTCGCTCCCCCTTCAGAGAAAACCAGGGAGAGCCTTTGGTCTTCTCCAAGCACACAGTTGGGAGGAGCTCCTGGATTCCTCTGTTTGACACCCTGTGAGGGCCAACGTGCTGGGCATTGCCTGCAGGTTGAAATCCCTGACCTTTCAGAGGTGCCTCCATGCCCCCGAGCAGCACCTCTCTGCTCCTCTCAGTGACCACCAACACGTTATTTGTCTTTGGTGAGCGTATGTGAGCAGTACCTCGGCGTGCCCAAAGCTGCCTGGGGCTCGTTAGGTGCTATTTATTAGCTATTACTATCATCTTGTAGTACTTACTGACACATCTGTGACCAAGCCATCTGGTCAGAGAGCAGAAATACGTATTTTGGTGGATCTGACCACCTTACACCTGGGTTTCACTCATCACCTATGGTCTGTAGATAGCAGCAAGCCTTTTGGGGGCAATTCGGGGTGCTGATGGTGTCGTGGCTGCATTGAGCAGGTAGATATGAAACGACTGCTTCGTGTAACTCAGGAAGTTGGGCACATCAAACAAAGCCAGCAGGTTTCTGAACTGGCTTGCTCCAAACATCTGAAAGGACATTTTCTAGCATTGTTGACACGGAGCTTTATAACTCATTACCACGGTATTCTGCAGTTGCAAGAGCTTCCCCGGATTCCAAAAGAGCACAAATAAATTTATAGAGGAAAAAGCCTTCAAGGTCTGTTAATCCTCAAGATAAAATTTCTGGCTCGGCCAGCGCCTCTACTGCAGATAGCTGGAGGCTGAGAGGTTGTCCTGGGGGAAGGATCAGCGTACAAGAAGGGCAGGCGTGTGCTTTTCTTGTGGCTTCTGCTCCTTGCAGCGGGATGCTGCTCTGGTTGGGCCTTTCAGCCAACCCCTGTAGCCGTGTGCTGCTGTAATGAGGGCTCAGAAAACGCTGTTGCTCTCACTTGATTAGTGGTAGGGACTGTATCTTCCAGCCTGAGTTCGAGAGAGGGGCTGGGAGGAGAGCACAGTTCTCTATTTTAGCACCAATATGTAATAGAACAGATTCTAGAGAAAAACAACAACTCTGTTGTGCACGAATGAGCTTGGTATTTGTTGACAGTGGTCATGCTGACATCTTTCTGCTGTTCACGAGAGATCTACGTAGGCAGAAGAAACTGAAAATAAACGAATTTTGGATCTCATTTCTTAGAATGGTTTGCTTAGTCATTTTTACTTCCCTGTCCGTGTTACTTTTTTGTTGTTTCAAGTGACTTGGTTTGGTGTTGTGTGTTTCCAGCTGGAAATCAGTTACACCAGGACGAAGCAGGATGCGTTGTGCCTTTTGTCAGAGGAGGTGGAAGTAGTTTGGCCTGAAAGTATTTAAAATACAAACGGTGAAATTAAAGGGCAGAAGGCGGTGATGAAGTAATGGTTTTGTCCTGAACACAGAGGGGAAAAAGACAAAAAGGATAGGAGAGACATTACAGCAGATTAGTACATAGTGAATTATTTATACAGGGGAAAAAAGGAGGTACTAGAAAGTAGTAGAATATTTTCAGTCCTGTGATAGGATTTATTGAGGTGATGTTACAGTGTTGGGGTAGGGGGGCGATTGGGAAGGTTTGGAGGAACAATCTGGGTGTGATGGGACCAGGTGCT